CAATTTGTTAATATTTTGAACCAAATAAGACAAAAGACTGCCATTGTTAGCATATTGCATAACAATCATGTACTCTTGTGTTTCTGGGTCTTGTGTCACTCCATAAATTTTAAGGAATGAACTATACGTATTGTCTATGCACTTGGCATGATTTCTGAACTATTAAATAAAAGAAATACAGAGTCAGCTTAGATATCACTTTAATTAATACTACCAATCATTGCTTACCTCGGAAATAAATAATTCCGACATTTCATCAAAATTTTTAAATCGTTTGAGTACAACAATTTGTTGCATATCTCGTACTTCTGAATACTTTTTATACTTGGCAGTATAAACTGTTCCATAACCACCAGCTCCGATCTGTTTAATATCATAAAAGTCGCTATACTGCATGTATTTAACAAGATTGTCATTTCGTATAAAACTGTCCAGTATTGCATATACGTCGTAATAGAAAACCAAATAATATTCCCGAGCAGATGGCTCCTGAGTAATTCCAATTATCCAAATATTATCAGGGGTTAATATCGTCGGATATTCCTTAGTTAACTATTTTGAGTAAACAGAATACACGCTGGTCAATTTAAACCCATGATACCAATACGCACTTATCGATTACATTGTTTGCACGTGAAATAATTTACCTGATAAAAATCCGATAACTGTTCGTCATCCATTTTTTTGAGTGTTACACGGGTCGATTCATTCCATTCTGCTATATGCGTGCATCCATGACGTAATGGCGTCATCTCTTGTACATTCGTTAATAGCGAATATTCTATCCATTGTATATACGCATCATCTACATGCTCCATATTACTCCACGATTTCATAATGAATGAATCCAATGATTTGTTTCCAGTCGTCCAATCAAGAGGTCTTGGTGCTTTACAACCATAACAGAATGCGTTTATCTTGAGTATTAATCGCCACGTACACGCCAGACATAATTCATTCTCACATTTTATCAGACAATACTTCTGTTCGCTTGCATCGTATGTGAATCCGATGGTAACCCAAATATCTGTGTTAAGAATATCTGGATATTTATCGCATACCATAATAATATGTCAATAATTATTTAATTATTCAATAAACATGACGCAAAAGTAAATAGTTTTACCTCGGCATAATATAAATCATGTGTCGCATCTGTTATCGCAAGTGGAATCAATCTAACACCGTGAGTAGGTAGACCATACAAGTATCCACTTCCATCCGCATAATAATCAATACAATCGAATGGAATCCATTCCAAATAGACGTCATTTGGTGAGTTTGTTTGTAGTTGAGATTTCTTAATAAAGTCATCGAGTTGGTGATTGTTGCTAGTCCACCCATCGGATAATTGTTTATAACCACAAATGCACCACACGGGACTACATCGGAGTATTCCACATGTGGAGCAGAAGCCATATCGAGAATAGCAATGGTAAAAGAGTTTATCAGCAACCATGTAATAGTTATCGTCATTGGACTTGGTAAACCCCTTTATGGGTTTGTTGCGACGATTAAGCCATTCGGAATATCGTTTAAAATTATTGTCATTGTTATCGTACTTGTGAGTTGAAAGTGAGTATATCCTAGCAAACTCACACACAACTGTTGCTGTACATTCTTCGCTACTTCCAAGTAACAGCAACATACTTTCATACTCATAATCATCATATTTGCGAATAGCGTAGTAAACGTTGTCAATTTGCGTGGGCTTTACGTTGGTGATTTCCTCGTAAGGTATCCATTTCAGTCTTAAGGGTTCATTTTCGCTTTCCAAGGAGGATTGGATCAAGTTGCCAATGGCTGGATTATTAACAGTCTCTGATGCTAACGACATAATAGTTTGAATTAGAAAAATTTTGAAGTGCACTAAATAAAATGATCTCAATGTTTGTGTTACATCGCACCAACGAAACGTCACTTGCAGTGCGCCACAAAAATGGGTGGTTGAAAGTTTTGATCGCGTGACTTTATTTTAAAATAGTTTTGTTGAACTGTTATACAAAACTGGTGATGCTTGAGATACGCTTCGCTGTGTTTGCGTTAGTTTGGTATCCCGTTGTCGGGAGAATTTTAGGGTTGACGTATTTCGTTGTTGAATGTTCGTAATGGAGGTAGTATTTTGTTTAAATTGTGTTTGGCTTTGGTTCGCATGGTAGATGCGGTTTATAAGTGCAATGGTAAATTGTAAGCAGTTATGTATCTAAAGCTTGTTCCGATGTTAATGGTAATATATTAAGTTAGTGAACGTATCAATGGGATGTTGGAATTATAATATACTTATCGATTCCATTTACTTTTTTATCAAGTTAGTAATAAATTATATCGAATGCTTACAATGTGCGAATGGAATGGAAAGTGGGTAGTATTTGGTAGAGAATGCAAAAACGGTTGCTTTTTCATTCACTCATTCAGAATTACTTTCTATTTTCATTGTCTATAGTGGGTGAATAGTTATTATCGTTCGAACATTTTATAGGTTTGTTGGAAAGAATTAATAATCGACTTTGTTAAATAATGGGAAGAGTATAACATTTAAAAAAAAAAAAGTAAGGTGATGGAAGAAATTATTAATAAACGACAAAAAGAATTAGAAACTTTAAAACGGCGATAAGGAGGAAAGAAGATTAAACGTTGAATTATTGACTCCGTAGTATTTAGAAAAAAACAACGAATTGTTCTAGTTTTTTGCAGGAGCGGCAAGTTGGGAGTCTGTTTGTACGCGAATATTGTCCAATGAAATTAATTGGTAGGCTCTAATTAAAGATAAATCTTCTTGCGTAATCCAAAGAGCTTTTTCCGGATACAATAATTTTCCACCATATACGTAAGGAAGACAAGGAAATTGGTTAAAGCGATTGCTGAACAATTGGGCAAATTTTTTGAAGGCGGCGGAACGGTCTCCATGCAGGAATATCAGTAGTGTTGTTTGCGAAATTTATGGATTGAATAGTTTGTGGAGGGTTTTACGTGACATGTTCGTAAGCAATTTAGCTGAACGATAAAAATTTAACTTTATAACATTTTGTTAATATCTATGTAACGTGATCGACATATATATAGTAAACCGGTGGATTTCTAGCAAAATATCCAATGACCGAGATTATATAAATATAATTAGTAGTTATTAGATAGTAAAACTAAATTATTACATAATTCAACATGAGTCATTATTACTTTAGTGGTGACAAATTCCTATAACGAGGAATGATCTACGTTGACAATAATCATTGGCGCAGGAATTTGTTTGTCTATTTAATCGCAGGAATTTTTAATTTCATTCTTTGGAAAAATAAAACGTGGTTTAGTGCGTTTAATTTCAAAATTTCAGGTATGATAATATGAATAGCAAAAATCTAAAATCTGTTTGGAATTCACGTGATATTTACTAGAAAAATTTTAATTCCGCAGCGATTCATTTCTACATTCTATTACTATCGCCAATACAATGGCCGATGCACCCGCTCCCGACCCAGTAAAGGAAGAAAAGAAAAAACGTGCCGAACAAAAGAAGCTAGAAAAATTAGAAAAATTTAGAGCCAAACAGGAGAAGTTAGCTCAGGTTGAGATTGTGCTTGGATTTCAACAATCCCGTCATGGATATCAGCTGAACCGGTCTATTTGATGCAATCCTTTAGGTCGCCGCAGCAAGCAAGAAAGACAAGCCAAAGAAAGTAAAGGCCATCAATACTGATGCACCTATAGACAAGACACCGATTGGAGAAAAAAAGAGTATGATTAGTTTTCCTGCAATCTACATAAAATGCACATCTTAACATACAGACGTGTGCGTTTAATATGATCCAACAGTCTTGATCTCTCCAGAGATGCCGGAGATGCCATCCGTATATAATCCAGCATACGTTGAATCTTCTTGGTATGCATGGTGGGAGAAAGAAGGTTTCTTCAAGCCCGTATTGACACCCGATGGCAAACCGAAACCAGAAGGTCTTTTCGTTGTGCCCAGTCCGCCGCCGAATGTTACGGGATCTTTGCACATTGGACATGCACTTACTATCGCGATTCAAGACACCCTGGTCCGATGGTAGTTATGCAAGGTAGCAGGCATCGATCAAGTCATTTATTCCAGTTAAACTAACGCTCCATCTTATTCCCTGTAGGAACCGCATGCTGGGGAAAACTGTATTGTTCATACCCGGAACAGATCACGCGGGTATTTCTACCCAATCCGTTGTTGAAAAGAAACTATGGGTTGATAAACAACTTACGCGTCATGATCTTGGACGTGAAGATTTCGTTGCGCAAATATGGAAATGGAAAGAATTGTAAGTTATAACTACGTCTGGTATCGTAGGAATTCAAGAATTATAACGAGATTAAATACCCTAGATACGGTGATCGTATTCATATGCAAATGAAGCGTTTAGGTGCCTCTTACGATTGGGATCGTGCTGTATTTACCATGGATCCGGTAAGCATCTTTTGTACTTGCTGAAACTGTTTTTATTCTCTCATAGGCTAACTGTACTGTTGTCGCAGATGATGTGTAAAGCTGTGAATGAGAATTTCTGTCGCCTTCATGAGCAAGGCCTTATTTATCGTGCGACACGTATGGTCAATTGGTGCGTGCGACTTAATACTGCCCTGTCTAATCTCGAAGTCGATTACGAAAGACTTTCCAACAGAACATTCCTAAAAGTTCCTGGGTATGAGGAGAAAGTTGAGTTTGGTGTCATGTATAATTTTGCATATCCGATTGAGGGATCAGGTATATTATCATCTTAAGCATGGCTCTCTGATTGTCAAGCGTTGTATAACCTTTTTATATTATTATTTAAGATGAGCGCATTGTGGTCGCTACAACTCGTCCAGAAACAATGTTGGGTGATACAGCAATTGCAGTGCACCCTCAGGATACACGGTTTACGGTCGGTTGAATTATAATCATGTCATAAATAAGCCAACGAAATGTAGAATAATGACGATTTAATTTCTTGACGCATATGATACATAGAAATTCCATGGCAAATCCGCTGTTCATCCATTCAACGGTCGTAAACTTCCTATCATACTAGACGATTCCGTAAACATGGAAACTGGTACCGGTGCCGTGAAGATAACCCCCGCCCACGACTTTAATGATTATGGAACTGGAAAACGACATAACCTAGAATTTATCAACATTTTTAATGATAATGGTACCTTAAATGCTAATGGAAGTCCATTTGAGGTGAGATTTTACCCATCACGTTCACAAGTCTAATAGCTTTCGTCCTAAAGAATTATCTTTGTTATAGGGAAAACGGAGGTTTGACGTTCGTAAAGAAATTATCGAAGAATTGAAGAAACTTGGTTTATACGAGGGTGACAAAAATCACCCTATGGATATTCCGTTTTGCAGGTGAGAATAGGACGTGGCCTTGTTCAATTTCAATGTCAATACCTATTGATCGCTTGTGTACATGTTGTATAGTCGATCAAAAGATGTTATAGAGCCCCTCCTCAAACCTCAGTGGTGGGTGAACTGCAAGGGAATGGCTCAGGATGCTATAGATGTAAGAGGTCTCTGGTATTGCGCAGTATGAAGAAATTAGATGTTTTTTTTTTACAAGCTTTTCCTAATGTTGTAACAGGCTGTGAGATCTGGTAGTATAACCATTCGACCTTCCACATCGAAAGACGAGTGGTTTAGATGGCTAGAAAATATAAGGGATTGGTGTATCTCGCGACAACTGTGGTGGGGGCATCGGATACCTGCTTATTTCGTCAAAATTGAAGGTTTAAATCAAGATGTGAGTCTACATAAAGGCCGTGATCATTGAAATTGTATGAATATTATCTTAATCAATACATTTCAACAGAAAGCGGATGAAGAATTTTGGGTATCTGGGCGTACATTAGAAGAAGCGCAACAGAAAGCAGAAAAAAAGTTTTCGGGCAAGAAATTCAGTCTGGAGCAGGATCAAGATGTGTTGGATACGTGGTTTTCGTCAGGCTTGTGGCCATTTGCTATACTAGGGTGGCCGGACAAGGTAAGTCACTTGTATGTGCCTCCTACTTACACATGTCGACTAATATGGTGCAATCTATCATTAACACTTAAATTTTTTCCAGACCGATGATTTTGCAAACTTTTATCCAACAAACTTGTTAGAAACTGGTTGGGACATTATCTTCTTTTGGGTGGCCCGGATGGTAATGCTTGGCATAAAGCATACGGGAACCGTGCCATTCAACGAAGTATTCTGCCATCCCATTATTCGGGATGCGCAAGGCCGTAAAATGAGTAAGACTCTTGGAAATGTTGTAGATCCCGTGGATGTTATCGACGGCATATCTTTGGAGAGATTACATGCGAAGCTTCGTGAAGGAAATCTTGACAAGGATGAAATTGAGAGAGCTCAAGTCGGACAGAAGGAAAATTTTCCTGATGGCATTCCGCAATGTGGAACTGACGCTTTGCGATTTACGCTATGTAATTATACGACTACTTCAGGTTAGTTTGTTTCGTAATTGTTCCGATTCCCGTCACATCATTTATCTTGATTACTGAAAAGGTGGATATTTTCTTTTTCCTACATAGCACGTAATATAAACCTTAACGTTAACGTGCTATTTAGTGATCGTACCTTCTGTAATAAATTATGGCAAGCCACGCGATTTGCCTTGAAAAGACTTGGCGATGACTTTGTACCGCAACCTACAGAGCAGGTATTTTTAGAGTCTTAAAGTATTGTATTGTAACGCGAAACTGACAGTCAATAATTTTGTGACAGAGAACAAACAAGGAGACGATAGGGGATAGATGGATTCTTCACCGTTTAAATGATACCGTAACAAAAGTTAACGAAGGGCTTCATAACAGGAACTTTAAGAGTGTCACTGATATTGCAAGAGGGTTTTGCTATTACGATTTGTGCGATGTCTATTTGGTAAGTCGTAAGAATTATGGTTAACATAGTACAAACAATCTTTTATACATATCTGCTTGGTACGTAGGAATGGATAAAACCGATAACAAGTGATCAAGCCGATGCAGAACGGAAACGATCATCTCAGGACACTCTCTACACAGCTTTAGAGGCAACACTTAAAATGCTACATCCGTTCATGCCTTACATAACAGAGGAATTATACCAACGCCTACCCAGAAGACCTGGCGATACGATCCCAACGATTAGTTTAGCAAAATATCCGCTTGCGGTTAGTATACAGTCAATTAAAGATCGAACGATGGCAGATAAAGTACTAATAGTGAGCTTGTTATTTTATAAAGAATAAGGACTATATTGATACAGAGGCGGAAGAATTGATTAATTTAGCGCTTGAGGCGGTCAAAGCGGCGCGGACAATCGTGAAAGATAACTACGAAGGACAGAAGAATAAATATGAACGTGAGTGTGTAAATAAATGATCTGTTTGTTGATATAGGGTTCCTTGTTAACTAAATTATTTGGCTAGTATACATCCGGGATGACAAGGGTTTAAGGGTATTTGCGGAAGATGGTGACAGCATTGGCTCATTGGTTGGTATAAAGACCGTCAAGATTCTTAATGAAAGTGAGACCCTTCCTGACGGGATTGAGACGTTGAAGACGGATCATGGAATCGATGTAGCTATAAAGAAGTTATAGCATACTTGTGATATTTATTCTTAATAAAAAGAAAGTCATTCTGACTTTGAAAATTTTTATTGTCAACCGTTCCTTCAGACAGATTGTTTATTTTTAAATCGTCTTTTTCCTTTTTTTTGTGATAAATTTCATACTGAGGAAGTGAATTTAGAGAATTGACACAGACTGCTTCTAAAGTTGATAGTGAAACGTGTATGTAATTCGTATTCGGGACGAAAGAAATCATACGACTCTAGTTTCAGTAAATAATATAAGATTGTTGGTTGAGTCTCATAATTGCTCATATTCGGTGGCACCTATATTCATATAAATGTTTATATAAAACTATTTATAGTACAAATCATGATAATAGCATTAATATTAATTAATTGTTCGATGCAAATACACACATTAATAAGACGTGTTTATAGCAAAACAATATTCGTGATCAGAAAGAAAAATTAAACCAAATGCCTTTTACTATAGTTAATATACTAAAGAAAGATATAAAATAATTATCCACCATTACACTAGTTACTTGTTCACACAGTTGGAAAACCTTGTCCGCTAAAATTGAGCCGAGTATTTGTTATTACCAGTTTGAAATTGACATTTTGGTAAATTAATCGAATGAGGTGGTACATTTTAAAACCTGCAATTGGAATGTGTTTTTACAGTGCATACAGTGCATTATACATATCCAGATTACAAGCAAAATGTTTCTCTCTCTCAACACGAGAACAACAATTGCGTCATGGTTTAGGTTTGTTTATAAAAAAGATTCTATTTTAGGCATTGTTATTTAATTACTCGTTCATTAACGCAATGTGTACGAAACGACAATTTTACCTGAAAACGGAAATTATTACAACTCATATCTGTTCATGTATTAACGGTACGCATAGACAGGATAGATGTCGACTTACCATATAAAGTCTTTAATAGTTATGCAGTGAGGTTAACCATGCAAAGCAATCTATTTGCCTTAACGGTTGAATAAAGCATTGGTATGACGCTATTAAGCGTAAAACGTGCGTTTGACACATACATTGTTAATCTCAGTTTGAACAAAACTCTCTGTCTCTGTCTCTGTCTCTGTCTCTGAGAGATACGGTTTCTATCGATAGCAGAAATAATTTGCAGAAATATTATTGTTTACGGTGTACGATAAACAATACAATACAGTACAATTAGTCTTGTTGAATACAGTGTCACCTTTCCCCCAATAATGTTGTCACTCTTTATTTCGCTTATTGTGTCGAGAATGTAGCACATTTTTTTCAAAGTCGGCTTGAGAAGGAGAACGTCTCGAGTAATACCAATGACGGCTTTAGCTATTCCAGACTACACCAGCTCCGCAGCTCATCATCATAACTTGTTGATTTATTGGTTTCTACGGTGCCTTGCTCCTTTTCGTATTATAATTATGCTTATGTGTGTCAGTTGATTACCCCCGGAGATATTATTTTCAATTGCCAATAAAAAGACAAGTTAAATTTTCTTTTTCTATTTTTGTGTGTTTGGTGGATCTAATGGTTTGCTTGATCTGCATGCAACAGAAATTATTAATAGTATTTATTGTTATAGTGTACTACTTATTTGTCGTGCAAATTAACCTTTCCAAATGAGGTTAAGAGCCAAGCTTTAGAATTTCCACAGACTTTTACATATATCCACAACTTTTTGCCATGGACAATCATTTTCTGACTTTCAAAAAAATTCAGCAGGGACCGCAAACGGAAAACGGGAATGACTTTGTGCGAAGAGCGTCCACTTTGCATAACAAAAACCACCTAATTTACTCTGAAATTTTGGGTTAACCGAATTGTCCAACTCAGTCACATATCTTTTTGACTGCCAACACTCGTTCGCTCAAACAGAAACAACGTCGAAGGGGGTCCGACACTTGGACTGCAAAACCTACGCTTACTATCCTGGTATTATTTATTCCTAACACACACAACCGTCCACCATGTCATACAACTCAACAGCAGTCTGCAAGTCATTCCCGCTCCTGCTCATATTCCTCTTCTTGATGTCTTTCCCCCTTCCATCCCATTCCCAAAATTCCCTCCCCCAACCCTACGACTCGACTCTCAATTATAATCTCACAACATCCTGCGTCAGCTTCTTTAGATCATTCAAATCTGACCCTAATTTCCAAAACTGCAATTCATTCGGCTTTCTCGTTCTCAGTTCAAACCAATTTCTAACATTGTCACGGAACGCTTCTCAAATACCTCCCATACTGGATCAAGTATGCGCCCCGGCGAATTCAATGGATAAATGTAAAACGGATTTTGGAAACTTTGCGCAACAGATGACGCTCGACAGCAATTGTCGAACGGATTTGCAGAACGTGAATCCCATTGCTAGTCAGGCGTACGTAACGTTTATGTCTTACGAGCCATTGCAGACTGTTGGATGTTCCAAGAACACCAATGGAACATATTGCTATGTCAGCGCACTGTATAATAAAAAAGGAATAGATCTGTTTCTTTTACCGAGTGGTAAGTTTTAAAGCTATAAAAGACATTCTATCAAATCCGTGAGATTTCGTATCAATATGTGCAAACATTGATATTAACATATACATGTGTTTTCTATTCTATTTTAGGCTCGGTAACGCCACAAACTGAGGAACTCGCTTGTACAGAATGCAACCAGAAAATTCTTAATACCTATGCGGCCTATGATACCAATAATGCTCTACCGCTTTATCAAGTTTTCCCTCCAGTCCGTGATCAAATAAATCAACAGTGCGGAGCAGATTGGGTCAATTCACCAGCAAACTTGGTAACTAATTCTATAGGGAGAGTCGAAGTTGGTAGTATACTCGTGAAAGCTTTAATTGGCGTGATAGGATTATTGATCGCGAGTGGTTGAAAAAGTAATTTAACAATATCGCGAAGCGTAAAAGTGGGGAGAAAGAGTAGGTGGGAAAAAAACAGTGATTACAGACATTGGTCATGGTTGCTCATTGCATGGCCTTTTGGGTACTCGATAGAACCAGAAATTTTTTGTATATTCTTTCGTTGTGATTTTTCTTTCTGGTAGAAAATTCACCATTGTACCATTACTATATAGACTACCCAATGGTAATAATATTGACACGAATTATGGAGATCACATTTGCATATTGGATCAACAACGCGTACATTATTGAAAGTTTGAGCTTTCTTTTGTGCTTGTTGTTTTGAGGTTCTGCTCACCTGCGCAAAATAAAATATTTGAACAAGTGATTATTTAAACGATAGAGGTGTGCCTGGGAGATGGATATGGATATCGTGATTCTATCTACTCGTTCGTCAATTAACAAAAATGCCAACCGAGAATAATATCAGAGCTGATATTAGTAAAATGTTCATCATTATTATTGATAATCTTTCCGTACCCCCCTCCCCAACCTAATATTATAAAGTCTTGTGTAGTTTGAATTACATCATTATAAATATGAATTTCTATATACATTACAATTCTCGAATTCGACTCATCCTAAAACTTTGACCTAAAAAAAAAAAGTCCTATACATCGACCATGAATCAATATGAATTATTTGGCTATTAAATGGCATCTAATTGCACATTCTCATCAAATTCATGAAGCAACAACAGAATTTTCTCCTTCCGCTTTAACAATATCATCTTCCTGCTTCTCAGTCGCTGCCAAGTAAGATTCCCACAATGCGATTATCTACCACGTATTAATGAAATATTAGTTTTCATATTTACATGTTGTTTAGAAAAAGTATCAAGTAACCAATTTCAACGAATTGTATATAGTGGTTGAAATTTACCTTTTTCTGTGTTTGAACAGTTGATTCCAAGAGTGACTCGATCCCAGTTTTAAGATCTTCTACCTTTTCTTTATCAAATCTATCAAGCTCGGCTTTAATCAATTTTGACACATCTTCAAATTCATGTTTACAATCTTCAACCCTATGCTCTGCCTGATTTTAAAAAAGAGCGTTTCATTATTAACTCGGCCATTGTTTGCAACATAAGTCGTAGAATTGACATACCTCAGCTACTTCTTCCAAGAGATATGAAACTCGATCTTGTGACGCTCCTTGCGACTTTACTCTTTCATAACTTGCTTTTTTTTTCTGCAACTCGCTTATCGCATATTGCCATGTTTGATGTGCTTTTGCTCGCGATGTAAATGCAATCTAAATCGACAGTAGAGACGTGAGAGACTTGCAAATAATAATTATGCTATCTGGTTACAAAGACTAACCTTAATAGAACCTGTAGTACGAACGTATTCATCCAAAATATTTTGCATATTACAAACATCTTTCTGAGCCTATATTCAGTTCCGCATGTATGTATTAGTGCACCAAGTCAAGAGCATACGTAATTCAATATGTGACGACGTATCGAAACAAAATTATCTAACCTGTTTTTCATGCAATTCTTTGATTTCCTGTTGTACCTCACTCAACAGCTTCACATTGTTAATTATCGTTTTATTCGTTTCAGCCTCGGCCAGAGATAACAATGCGGTGCCGAGATCCATAGTAGATATACCAAGTTCTAAATGTGAAATTAATATTATTAGATGACACCATGTGCAAACTTCGTGTGGATAATTTCGCGTTCACTAAATCTTTTTGTACCTTTACGCTGCTTAACCATGGCATCAACCGATTTTTGCAGTACTTTAAGCTGCCCTTCTAATATAGTTAACTGATTTTTTCGATTCTCAAACCACTGCGATAAACAAATCCTTTTAGTATAAACTCAGACTAATGAGCAAGTGGATATAAGGAACAGTGCATACCTCGTCTGTCTCTATGAATTTGTTTAAAGCGGCAGCAGTAGAAACGGCTTCGCCAAGTGATCTTAAAACCCCTCTGGGTTCCTCCTGCTGCCTTTTTTTGAGCTTGGTTATGATAAACGGTTGTTTAATAAACGGTAGAAAAAAATACAATATCAATATCCTCATATATTATACTTACATCTAGAATAAAGGTATCCGACTCTAGAAACAATTTTAGATCCGGATCTCCATACAGCATCGGATGAGAAACGATCTTGTTCAAGCATTTTTCGAGCGACTGTCTACGATGTTCAATAAACTCTTCTTGAAAACGTCCTATTTCAAATCAAAAGATAATCAATTAGGGTCGAGCCGAACAAACATGTTAGCAACAACATAATCGTCATCATACCGATTGCATGCTTTTCCGGTATCGGAGGAACGATTACACCAGGATTACCGAGAGTCAATTGATTATAAAGCCAAATGAAATCACGATAACGCCGCAAAACGGTAAACTCTTTTCCTTTGAAAGCGTTCGAATTTGTCTAAAGCCAAATCATACAAATTCGATCGAATTAAAATAACATGCGAATACCAAGCTAACAAAAAAACTTTTGACTTGATGTCGCAATCTTGATAGTTCAAACAACAACCTTGGTTCGAATTTTATATATAGTATGTGCGTTGATCGGATCTCCAATTTTCCGCGGATCTTCTACAAATACCTCGAAACTTGGCATTTCGCCCGGTTCCGGAATACGTAAATCTGATGTCTATTTTCGAAAGATGTATTTTCAAAAGACTTGTAATACGTCCAGAGATTTTCTAGTTGTCGTCATGTTACTTACCTTATCATCGTCAATTGACTCGGAGATTTGACGGACGATTTCATCGTCTTCTTGGTTCAATAGCTGTTGATTGATTCGATCTCGATATGGAGCAATATGTTCATCATATGAATAATCCCCATTATAACTATCATGTACGTAACTGTTATAAGGCGGTGATATTGCTGCAATACCCTTGACCGAAGACACATCAACGTCCTCAAACTCGGCCCTGTCATGTCCTGTTTTATAAGCAATAGGAGACCTAAAGACAGCCGACGTATCGTTGGTGAAACCTAAGCCATGTTCAAGAGGGTCGCCGTTATCAATTGGGATGGTGCTGAACACTGCATTGTTTCCTTCATCCTCACTCTCGGAAATGGAAACCAAACCACTCTGTGGAGATATGGCATCCGAGAACGGGTTTGATACATCGACATTACTCAGACTGTCTGATATGGTATTTGTACTTGGTTGATGTAAAAGGTCATCAAAATTATTTTCGAATGCTGGATCAGTCATGGTTCAAGATGTATGAATCGAAAAAGATACTTCCCCAAATTTCGGTTAATACTAATATATATATTAGAATTAATCTTACTTGCTGGTTGCAGCATAAAATGACGTAACAGTAACACAATCATTCTTTGCAAAAACTCCTCTACACGTCCAACAAAGACAATAGCTTTTGATCTCTTGATTTTCTGCTTTTGGTCCACATACAATATGGGTGACGGAGGCTTTTTCAAGGTTTGACTAGCAACGAACTTGGAACATTCATATTGTCAGTGTTCCGGAAGATTAACATTTCATAATTTTGACTGTTATCGTCCGGCCTCGTAGGGAACGAGTCTCGAACAAGACAGTCGATTCGCTAATAAACAAAAGAAGCTTTTGAAAAGCATGTCATTTCCATCTGACTTTAATAAAAAGGTATGAATACTTGGCTGCTTTTTTATTACTTTGGTGTGGCATAGATTTGTCAATCTTTTAGAATGCAGTTGGAGTGAATCTCCTCGCGCTACTTCTTCAATGAATTTTGCCCTCGACTCTTTACTTTAGTCACATCACACTGTTTTTGTTCTATCAAGATTGCTCTCGAGCATACAAATCTTTGTCCCTTTATTCCACAAAGTCACTGTCAAGCGAGTAAAACCTAAACATTCTCCTAAATAATGCTAATAATATCCAACCTGCGAATACAAAGTGTATACATCTAGTCACACACTTCTGCTTATGTATATGATACAACAGAAGACAGTATTCCCGTGATACCAACGGAGAAGAAGTGGTTTTTTGTTGGTGAAGATCTCTTTTGTTTCGTAATTATGGATCCTTAATATTTGCCGTATTTCTTTCTAAAATGACTAAAGTGGGGAATGTGCAGGTTTCTAGATTTGGGGGGTTAAGAACATCACTGAAGAAGATTTTGCGATAGTGACCTGGGCTGTTTGAAAAAAAAAAAAGTGCACTACACGTGATTCTTTTTGCTCCCAGAGAGAGTAAATCCGTTTATTGGGATTTTTGTCATCTGCTGCACTCGTTGAAATACCGTTCCCTCCCTTTTTCTTATCCCATTGCAGGTGGATATGACAAAAGTAAATATGCAAGTATTTCGACCGTGGATTGCGCAAAAAGTCGTAGATCTACTAGGCACGGAGGATGAAGTCGTAATAAACTATGTATATGGACTTTTGGAAGAACAGGTAAACTGCTTTCTCTCAAGAATTACTATTTGAACCAACATACGCCATAATATTAATCAGTATCCTAAGCTTTCGCAATTGTTTTATTTGCATTAGGATCCTGATCCAAGGTTAATGCAAATTAATCTGACAGGATTTCTTGAGAAGAATGCAGCTGCGTTTGTAACAGAATTATGGAAGTTATTGCTCTCGGCGCAAGATGGAGTTGGAGGAATTCCGACCGTCTTTTTACAGCAAAAAATGGATGAAATTAGGAAAAAAAAGGTATAGACGCATGAATAATTTAGGGATATGGTAATAATGTATAACACGATACCAATTAATGGGAGTTCTTAGGAAGAGGATGAAAAAATCTTGGCGGAAATCCGTCGAAGAAAAGACAAAGAAGAAGAAGAACGAATGAAACTAAGAGACATTCGAGACAGAGAGCGTCGAGAGGAGAAAGATAGGCGGGTATGTTCAACGTTTTCTTTTCTTTCTTTTCTTTTTCATAAACCAGAACGTCGGTGTGATTGTTCCTTCTTTTCAGGAACGCGACCACAAATCCACACGTCATAGAAGTAGAAGTAGGGATGACGATCGTCATCGTCGGTCATCTCGACGTAGTCCAAGTAATGAAGACCGACATCGACGACGATCTATTCGAAAATCTAGCAGAAGTCGAGAAGGACGCGTGCGTGAACGTAGCCGTAGTCGTAGCCTAAGCCATAGTCGTAGCCGTGATCGCAGGCGACATAAAAGCCATCGGTACAGTAGTAGGAGTCGGAGTAGGGATAGAAAACGGCATGAGGACAGGAGACACGGGCGAAGAAGTAGTCATGTTCGAAGTGACAGGAGTCTAGAACGTTCTCGTGAGAGTTTCCATAAGAGGCGTCAATCTCGAGATGATGTCGTCAAGTCAGATTATATACCATCATCTGGCTCCAGTCCTCTAGAACAACCTATGGAGATCGAGGAGAACCGACAACTCACGAACAAAAAACCTGTCGAAACACCCGAGGATGTCTCGCCACATGGCTCGCCGCCTAGAAGGAGAATAGAGGCTCCAATATTCAAGTCAAAATGGAATGACGACGAGGATGATGGTGAGGACGAAAAGGTGAGTAAATCTTTGGGTCGTTTGCGTAGGAAAAGTAAAAAGGACGGTTATGCTCATCTCATTTACTGATTATAGTGATATGATTGATGCTATAGAAATCTCAGCAAGAGATAGAACAACGGTTACGTGCACGAGTATTACAGTCAATGAAGAAGTGAATTATAAGTGGAAGAGTTACTGATTGCCAAAAGTCGCTTAAAAAGTTTCGCAATAAATCCCGCTATGACTTGTAACATTTGCTTCGATGTTGTGAACAACAAGATAAGAAAGAAGCGTCCGTTTTATTTCTAAAGACTCGGGTAGTCGTTATAGATAGCGATAGAAATTAGATGAAGTATTCCGTAAATATTAATGCAGAGGAATAATCTTGCGGATTGGAAGAAAAGTCCATATAGTAATAGTGTGTATACGTAAAATAAAGTAATGGAATTGTTCAAACAACGGTACGTTCGACATGTTATCAAATAAGATATTTTACATTATTTATTTATTTATTATGTAATTAGACCATCATTATTGTCATGATTCCCAGCCCCCCATTTTCCCACTCTCTCAAGAATATGAGAAACGACAGTCGAATCAAAACACAGCACCCTCGACACAACATCACTCATGCGTGCTACCTCCTTGCCACCCAGTGCTGCGAGTTTTCCCTGCTCTGTTACCAGCCTCGGGCGTACCCCGCTATTTAACAACCTACTAACCCAGAGCTTCCGCTCAGGCCAGAATGTTGACACCGAGTTCAAGAGAGACACTGCAATCGACGTGCGAGCGCCAAGGATGTAAACCTGCATTTTGGCCCTTCTGCCATTCGGTTCACCATACTAGGTGCTACAGCTAGACGCGACTCCAGCCAACGAAGCTCTCACCTGTGCAATCCGGTGCCATATTTATGTAATATTTCGTAGTTATGGGATACACTGGAAATTAAAAGTATTATTGGCAGTTTGGAATGTACAACTTCAGGGAACTGTGTGACGATGAGAGCATCGATGGAAAATGACGTATTTCGTTAGCGAGAAAATTCCAAGTTGTTGTATTTGTTTCAAGAACACACCCTTTATGTACTAACATCGAATAGGGGCAACAGATGATTGTACAGCGGAAACCTCGTTCAATCCGTGTTGCATACTCTCTATCCCTTACGCTTAAGAGACTTTCATTGATGACCTATTCGCAAAGGAAGCGAGAGGTAATAGGGTAAAACTCGCATCTTGCCGTAACGCAACTACTACCGACTGTGCATATCACACGCATACTAAGCACGTAAATACCCGTCATGGAATTTTCTCTCAAAACTTGAAATAAAGACTGGCCTCACGTTTCAATTCTGGCCCACAAATTTTAATTCGGGTTCATTTAATTGATTACTTTGTAAATTTGATTTTTGTGAAATTTTCATAACAGAGAGAGGAACCAAGGCCAGTTTCCGTCAATGGCCCAAAAATAGACGTTCATATTTGCTTTATTAACGTTCTTTGAGAAGATCAAGCGAAATAATCATGTCATGTTGATTGTTCAACGAATTCAGAATACTTTACGGAACTCACATGCTTAAGCAAGTGGCGTTTTATAACAAGAGCTTGCCATTGAAAGAGTTAATATTGATTATACTGGAGAATTCCATCAATTTCTACTAATGCTTCCTGTGACAGTTTCATACTAATACTTATGTATCGTTCATATCATGTGACACCCAAATGAAATATCTGCGCGAAAAGCTCGACTCCCTATTTTTCTTTTAATGCCGCGTAGTCCATCCCCACGTTCCGAATACTCTCGCCGTAATCACGGACATTCGGACTATCGAGACTCTTACCGTGATCGCGATCGACCATCAGAAGACGTACATCCGCGTCGTAGATCTCGTTCACCTCGAGATAAATACGACAGACGAGACAGACGCTCTCGTTCACCATACGGAAAAGATAAGGATAGGGACAGGCACAGAGACAGAGACAGAGATAGAGACAGAGACAGAGACAGAGATAGAGATGGCAGGAGATCTATAGATCGAAGTGGGAGGTACAGGTCTAGATCTCACTCACCTGTTGGCAGAAGAGGTAATAAATCTGATGCAGTAAACAAAATATAGTAAATAACTCTTGACCTGTCAGAATGTAGTATGTGGTTATGTAAGTAAATTAGTACAGTTGGGTATGAGACAGCGTGCTCTTTGGAGACTCATGAGTATCAATACCAAAGACGTTTTAGTACGTTATATACATATCAAACAGTTTTCCCTCGGGTATCGGAGCTTGTCTCCTTAACCGCAGCTCATTGCGCAGCTGTTGTGAAGTCGTTTATAGTAAATATTACCGTTGCTATCAAACATTAACGATTATTTCGAACATTTTAGATGACAGATACAGTAGAACCAAAGAGAGACGAAAGTCAAGATCAAGATCAAAGTCAAAATCACCAAGGTAAAACCTGCTCGATGATTTTTTATTTTTTTTTGCTCAACGGAAATGCAGAAGTTGTTGCTGAATTCAATTTGAATGGAAGCAGGAAAGATGAAAGCGTAAATGCGGTTGAAGGTAACCATAGCATATATAGCAATAAGGACAGGCGATATGTACATTTACCGGAGACTGTAATTGTTTTGTTTTTAACTATAATTCTGATCTTTCTGAATAACTAATATTTTAGTGAATATTGATCCCGACGAGGAACCCGAGAAAGCATTGATGGCTTTCATGGGAATTGCCGGTTTTTCGACGACAAAGGTATCCGTTAAACTTGCAAGCCGTTTGCATAGATGATGTATCTAATGATTATGTCCGATTTAGGGCGCAAAAGTTACTGGAAATGATATGTCTGCAGTTAATATTAAAAAACAGAGGCAGTATCGCCAATACATGAACAGACGTGGTGGATTTAATAGGTACGTTTATATTCTGTTGAACGCTTTGGATGACAATTAACTGATATCCGGGCCTTGTTATTACTACCGATGTAGACCCTTGGATAAAGTACAATAATGCGGTTATCCTGTTCCATTGCGGGTTGAGTCAATAGAATCAAAACTTTATTAATAATAGATAGGTTAATAATGTACGATTAGAGCGTGTTTGAGTTCTCGGTCTATCGCTTAACGTTGGAGATTTCACTATTGTCAGTCGATCGGGACATGAACCCCGTTTACAATAAGGTTCGCAATCTCGATTATCAAGTCTCAAACTATCGGGTGTTTATGAAAGTAGACAACTACGCAGAGACAACAGAATGCTCCTTACTCAGATGAAAATAAAAGTAGTAGTTATGAGCTAAATATCAACGTTTATCATAGTAAGCAATTAAGTTCAATTTCATTAGACGTTCAAATAACTGGACACAAAACATGCATGCTTACTTTGTCTTGCAACGTTGATCTCCCAATTTAGTATTCGATTGGGATTAATATCTGCAAGTAATAATTGCTTCACTCTATATACATCAGGTATGTTATACAATAAACACATTTTCATTTCCTTTGGAACATTTACAACCATGATAGTGATAATCGCCTTACTGTACAAATGGTTGTTGATAGTACTGAGAAAGAGAGCGTGTGATGAGTCTTCACATGGTTTCTGTTAAGAAATCCGCATTTGAAAGCGTTGCTAAGAGTATTGAAAGAACGTTAATGCTGAGGAATGACAAGAAAATAAATTTGACCAAACTTGAAATCAATATGGTAACGATTCAATACCATTGGGAACTAGTTACTTTCGACAATACTCTGTAAAGTGTATTACTTACTCTATTGTAAATCTAACAATGCATTTGACAAACTTGCCCAAGAGATATCAAGAAAATCGAACCAACCGAGAAACAAAAACCTAATTGAAAGATAAACAATGAGCCATGTCCAAGCCCTGTTCGTATTGGGGAAAAAGTTATGCAGAATGCATTGCGACGATACCAATTGTCACTTAACAATCCGCCTTGATAATAGTTAAATGTTGTTTCACATGCATAAGCCGAAAGAGAAATATTCTTAGAGTCAGTTTTCTTTTATATTATTGTCATTTCTCACGCACATGGATCAAGGTCCAAAACGGTAGCAGAACGTTTATTCTGCATAAAGAACACCCCATGCCCTTTTGTTGGCACTGGAGGACGATATACATGCCCAGATGAACAAAACTCGTACAAGCGTTTATTATTATTTGCAACCCAGATTTACCATTAACTAACGCGTCTTCTTTCAGTATTCAAATTTTTAATCTAAGGTAGGACGGTTTCTGGTTTGATAGTCAGTGCCACGACCTTTAAATATCGCATTGGTTAAATGTTTTCTTTTGATGAGAACAAAAACGAAAGTCTCTCCCGTTAAGGTAAATGCCATGCAATTATCTACATGTCCTCTGTAATACGGATCAACAAGCGCACGTTTAATGTGTAACTTGAATTTTGATGGAATTCTGTATAAATTTCACTGGGTACTTTTTTCATGCATCTCTCATTTACGACAGATTACCGGTTCAACCACAATTGCAAAAAATCACTGAAATTTGCGAGATGCCAATACAATATTCTGTCGAAGTAGCTAATGCTCCAACCATTCCAGGTGAAGGTAAACCTCGTCGTAATGCTCTTCTCCCGGACAGGTTGATTTCTCATCCGCCAGGAGTCACCACTTTATGGGAAAACTTTTTACGAGGAGTTAGACTATCCGGTGAGTAACGGTCATAATCAAAGCATACGACAAAGTCATTTTGGTTATAGGCAAACATTTATAGACAATCGACCGTAGAATATGTCAGTACACAACATTTGCTAATTGTCTGATTTACTTATCATAGAGGGTGGTAATTTTTTGGGCACACGCCGAATTGAAGACGGTGTCGCCAAAGAGTATGTATGGCAAACTTACCCGGAAGTTCAGGCGCGTGTAAGTAATATAGGGTCTGGCTTGAGAAAACTCGGTCTAGGGACTTACAAACCTCTCGGTTTCTTTCTTATTAACTGCGCTGAATGGGTAAGCCCTTCTTCTTTTCCTCTCTTTCAGACGATCTCTTTTTCGATATAATAACATGCACCTCCACTTGTTTTTACTCCTTTTTTTTACCCAAAATTAATCGATTCCGTTATACGTTACAAGACTATTGCCGAAATTGCATGCTACCAATACTCGTTCATAACAGTTCCGCTCTACGATACTCTCGGAATAGACGCCATCGAGTATATAATTAATCAGACAGAGATGGAATTCATCGTCGCAAGCCACAACAAGGTCCAGATACTTCTCGATAACAAACAGAGACTTCCGCATATCAAACATGTAGTGGTAACCGATGGAATACCCGAGGACATGCTTGATGCGGCTGCCAAAGCCAACGTGCAGTTGCATGAATTTACCCAGATCGAGAAGAATGGTGCTACTGATCCGGTTGAAGCAGTTCATCCGAAACCCGAAGATATTGCCATCATCTGCTATACGTCAGGCACAACGGGTACTCCCAAGGGTGCCATACTGACTCACAATAATCTCACAGCCACTATCGGCAGTCTGGTATATCTTGCCGATAAGAAAAAGATGTTTCTTCCTTCAAAAGATGATGTTCACATCTCATACTTGCCACTCGCTCACGTCATGGAAAGATGCGATGAGGTTGCTGTCATCTATGGTGGTGGGAAGGTTGGGTATTACCAGGGAGATACACTCAAGTTATTGGATGATATTGCAGAACTGAAACCCACCGTGTTCGTTTCCGTACCAAGATTGTTTAACCGTGTTTATGATAAAGTTATGGCCGGTGTAAAAGCTAAAGGCGGCATTGCGCAAACGCTATTTCATATGGCTTATAATCAGAAGAAATCTTTGCTTTCCAGAGGTATTATCAATCATTGGTTTTGGGATCGTATTGTATTTGCACCTATTCGTGCGAGGTTAGGTGGGCGAGTCAAGAACATGTTGTCCGGATCGGCACCTATCCAAGCTGACGTGTTGGATTTCTTGAAGATCTGTTTTTCGGCTAATGTCTATGAAGGATACGGTTCAACTGAGAATACTGCTGGTGCCACTATAGTAAGTTATCTTTAAGCTTTATACATTCCGTATCACTGTCGTGTTCTTTAACTTGTATTTTCTTTATATAGACGATGTATGGAGATACCACAGCTGGACACGTTGGTGCTCCACAATTGTGCAATGAAATAAAACTAGTTGATGTTCCCTCGATGGATTACACTAGCCAAGACAAGCCATTCCCACGTGGTGAGATCTGTTTACGTGGTAATGCCGTATTTAAAGGATATTACAAATTACCCGATAAAACAGAAGAGGCACTCGACAAGGATGGTTGGTTCCATACTGGTGATATTGGTATGTGGGACGAACAGGGTCGCTTAAAAATTATCGATCGTGTCAAGAATATATTCAAATTGGCTCAGGGAGAGTATATCGCACCAGAAAAGGTAATTATGACACGATTGACTTGTAATCAGCAATTCGGTATTTTTAAAGGTTTATTATGATTTCAGATTGAGATCGTGTATCAGAAACATGAGCTGATAGCCCAAGCTTTCGTACACGGTGATTCCCTTCAAGCCGCGTTGGTCGGAATCATTGTTCCTGACGAGGAACAACTCCTCATCTGGGCTAAGAATAATGGACATGAAGGCAAATCATTCAAAGAACTCTGTGAATCATCAGAAGTCAACGCGCACATCCTACAGGCCCTAACCAAGTTCGGTAAACAGAACGATCTCAAAGGTTTTGAGAACGTGAAGAAGATTTATCTCTGCTCGGAATTGTTTAGTATTGAAAACGATCTCTTTACACCAACTTTCAAGCTCAAACGTCACCAAGCAAAGCAACGCTTCCAAGCGCAGATTGACGCAATGTACGCTGAACTTCAATGAAAGGGATGAAAGAAGACGGGCGCAAGATAGATTTATGGTTAATAATAGAAAAAATTATTTTATGTTTTAATTCGATTTTGAGGAGTCATTTTTCATGCTGCTTGTAGATATTATATATATAAGAGAATCAAAGTCCCGTTAGGCAAACGGGTGGAAGATTTGAATTAATACAACAGTCACTCTCGTATTATTATTAGTTGAAAACGTGTCTATACGAATATACCCTTCTACGCTTTCTTTCTCAATATACCACAGTATCTGAAATCGCAGCTCTGACTTCTTCAACAAACGGATTAAGTAACTTGTGAACAGTTACAAACTCTTTCATGTTAGCCTTTGAATATTTCCCAGCTTTGATGTCACCATTATCATCGTCTTCACTACTCGAGCTATCAAACATAAAGTCCATGCTTTCTTCCATTAAGTTATCTACACCAATTTCCTGAATAACATTCGATGACAAAGGCGCGCTATCATCTGAAATTGGATATTGGGCATAAACAGCTTTTCTAAATTTATCCAATCGACTTCTCTTGCGTTGTTTATGCCATTCTATAAGTTGTTCTATCTCGGAAAAGAGTTTTTCTTGTTCGTCTGTTGTTAACGTTGATCTTGCTATCCGACCCATGTCTATCCTCTCTGGTAGACCATCGCGTGCAAACGACAATATGGTATCCATCCAATTGACAAGAGACGAGAATATTCCAGCAGTGTCGTGTGAATATATTGCGTGGACAAACGAATAAAAGCGTTGTGAGTGTCTACGAACAAGGGAGAGGAATGTCTGAACTATCGATTCAGTCGATGCGTTTGTGGATAGACCTATGCGAATTTTAAAAAAATTGTCAAATCATTGCAAGATGAGAATGGGAATAAGATCCAGATAAAATTCTTACCTTTTTTGTCGTCTAAATCCTCGACCACTTGAATCAAATCATTAACAAAATTAGAGATATCGCTTAGCGAGTCACCGAAATTCGCTGCCTATGGAAAAAACCAATACTTTTAGGAGGATGATCGTGGTAATAGCGCATCAGAATACGTGATTGTGTTGTACCTTATACACTCTTGCTAATGGTTCATAAAACATGGCCAAAATTTCTCTAAACAAGCTGCCAGTAACCCCCTTTGCAACGTAAATGTATCCGTTAACACATATTTGATCAACTAATAAATAATACTAACGGATTATCTATCTACCTGAAATAATAGATCAACCATCATCTCCTTATCACGCTTCCTCAAGTATAAAAAGAACAATCTCTTGACATTATCAAACATTTGCGTTTCTTGTGTTGAGGCTAACGACTCTGGCGACAACTGTGGTTGCAAAGTAGATGTGTGTAGAATAGCCCTGACTATTGCATTCGCGTCTATAAATTGTAACGACAACGAGGCATAAGCATTTGATTAAGATACGTTTGAATAAACATCCTGCGTAAAATGGTTAAAATCCATACTCTCGGCATCAGCTTCGTTTTTTACAATTTCCTGTACTTTTACAGAAGAATTTGAATAGTTTTTGAGTTTCTCACATATGACAGGATCATTAATAGCTGATCCCATCGTATCAATTTTTCTTTGCAGGTCTCTAATTTCCTCGTTCAGATTTGTAGACAACATCCTGTTAAACATGAAATGTTAAAGTGCTGAATCACAAACGGAAAAATAAATAAAGCACGAAAATGTACAAATTAAACTTGCCTTTGTATAAGACTTTTTGTACCGAATGGTTGAGCTAAAAATAGATCCAACATAGCTCTCATGAGAAGAAGAGGATTTGAAATTTTCAAAATTCCATGCATCGCTTTATATGGCATCAATGAATGAACGTTCTTTAATTTGGCAAATGTCGCACTGCTGGTGTCTGACCCAACAAAAACACGATACAAAGTTGAAGCAAAGCTATAATATAGAGTCAAATCTTTCATTAGAATTAATACCATTGACTTATTTTCTCAATCAAACTGGGTCTTTTTGATACCTTATTTCTCCCCATTTAATTATTTCTTGATACGTCGGTGGTAATTGCGAAATTTCAGCAGTTTCTCTTATAGTGGCAGCAAAATGTGACAATCCACCTAAAAAAAAAAGAGGTTTCAATATCATTCTTCGCAGCATTAATTAATCGACATTATTATTTCCCCCTCCTTCTTCCATATATTACCGCATTTCAGCAATTCCTGTTTAAACGCCTCAATTTGATCGTAGAACCCCTCCATCTGCCTTTCAGTCTCTATTTCAAATGCCCTTATTCGTTCATCTTTAATACTATCCAATTCTGCTCTTTCAGAGATATTCTTTTGATCATTTTCTGTCAATTCGATCGGATCCTTTAACAAAAAGTCTTGGAACAATTGAGATTGGGCCACTTTCCTTATTCGCAAAAGGTGGCGTATGTATACACGAAGATTGAGACGATTCTTTTCATATCTATACTTTGGAAATGCTGACGATCTGTTGGTCAATTGACCTATCTTTGACGTATCCTTGATCTTTTTTGGAGGGTCAAGTATTTCTATATCCGAAAACTCATCTTTGAGCTAATAAAAGCGTCGTTAGCATATCGTTTATGAAGAATAAACGCTATAGTTTAATAAACTCACTTTATTAAATAAAGTTCGGAAATCTCTGTAACGTCTGGCAACATATACATCTTCAGTGCCTGGTCTCTTTGTTAGTATTATGTATTCCTGTGGTGGGGCATAAATTCAGCATTACCATTACACGCATATAATAAATTTACATTCCTGGTAATGCAAATGGCATATCATAGTATGTCATAGCAGTTGTCGAAACTTACCGGGTGTGCACGTTCTTTCAGCTTGCCTTTTTCAACCCGAATCCTAACACCAACAATATTCAATTCCCAAGCATTCCCCAAATTATCTACTTGTACCTTCTCCTTTTGTTGGTCTTTTGGACTCAGCCAATCGCTCACTTTCAAATTCTCGTCTTGTCCCAGAGTACTTTTAATTCCCGCATTCAACAACAGTGTAACGTGACCCACAAACTTTGCCGCCAACTTTCTTCGACGTGTTGCCTCGTCTCTAGTAACGGTCGAGCTGATATTTTTACTATTAAACTGGTCTATGAATTCTCTTATTTTATTCCAAAAATCATTTTTCGTAGGGCGGAGGAATGGAAAGGTCAGCACATGATTGTGAAATATGAAATAGAGGAATGGGGACGGTGTAATCAGCAGAGTGTCTGTCGAGAATGGCGGGCCGAGGAACGAAAGACCTGATTCAGCGGCAAAGTTGAGAAGTTCTTTTTCGACTTGACAGCTAATTAATTCCCTTTTCAAGTAATGTTCTTGAAGGGGAGTGAAGAATGGGGTAGACTAAACGGATCAAAAAGAAATGGATGAACATGAGTGTAACGTGATTAAGGAAAAGATTTCCGTGTGCAGGATGTGCAATATTCATACCATTTGTTTTCAGCGTATCTGTGCAGTAGACAAAGAACTTTGATGGTTTTCGGATTTAGTCTTTGCAGCGCTCATTTATAGTTTTATAATTTACTCCCACACCAAACCTTTTTGGCCTGATCTGATCTTGGCGAGGATCATAATAGGGGCAAGCGGGTACGCGACGCCACACACAATTCCAAGGTCTACGCCACTACAAGTAACTTGTAATAGATGTGTTTCGAACATCCACGCTTACATACTATTATCATACCTTAACCTTTTGTACACAAATTCTTGGTATAAAGGCGATGGGTGCCTTTTGTTACTTAGACCTGTCTTGCTGTTAGCAGTTCCATCTATACAAGTAATCATAGACATGATAGGTTACCTGAGCGCGCGTGCTAAGCAGGATATGACTATTTCGTGCGACTATGGATTATGTCTGTGTCATTAATATCGTGTTTCACACGTATGAATTTCAGACGCCATAGTTGCGTCATAGAATAATGATTAAGACCAATCATTATGCTTTAATTATTTCCGCTGATATTAATATTAATATTAGTGAAATCAATAACAATTGTAGTCATGAAAGGTGAATGTTTAGGTCATGCCTTTTGTTATAATAAACATGTGAGGCGTTCGCTGGAATTAAAATTTTCATTACTGAGTCAAAACTTCACATACTCAACTCACTTTTCTTAATGCAGTAATTTAAATGAGTTTCATTGGGTTAGGGTTGACCACAAGAATGCGAATAAGCGTTTATTCATTGTGCCACCAACGGTTAGAATTATCCGACTTGAAGTTGAATCTAATATGAATAAGTAAAGTTAGTGTTTACTATGCATATCGTAACCCATACAGGTTCAAGTCCCAAAGTCGGGCTTTTGTTAACATTTGAGCGAGATATTCCTGGCGCCGTTCACGTCCCGATCCATCTCCACGCACGAATCATATTTAATCCACCGAGATCATTTTTACAGTTTCCACACGTCTTTGATGTATACTCTTCCGTGCATTCAATGACCTTGCAACCCCTGAACTCCCTTGACTTGTGATGTAAGAACATCCGAAACCTGAAATGCGACCAAGTCAGCATCGCACGAGCTGTCTTCGATCGAATCTTTCGCTTGTTCTTCAAAACCATCCTCGGAGATTATTCTGACATAACCAATGGGCCAGTTGATGATGGCACGCATTGATCAAATTATGGATTCAGTGTATGATTCCTATCATCTTTTTCTTCACTCGAATCTCTTTTTCTTTGTTCTTCCCAGAGCAAGATCTTTGTCACTCGTATTTCTTGGATAATTTGAATATTTTATTAAAATCACTGTTACCACACTCACCGTCGGGATCGTAACCGGCTACAAATGTGGAACACCTGGATCGAGCGAGATCATCTTTCCCCACATCATCTTGGTTACCACTGATATCCAAAGGAACGCAAATACACAAGTGAAAATGTCGCAGATGATTCATAGTTATGTTAACCTATTAGTGATACCTGGTGATCGCTCTGAGGCGATAATATTCTTTGGGAACGTGTATTTCCCTTTATTCTTATTCCAAACCCTCGCTATGATCGAAATGGTTTGTATTCGATCCTTTTTCGTTCGATACTCATTCGAAAATTATTTCCATGAAACTTCCTGTTTGTGATCCTACTACAGTCAAATCTGGTTATCAGTCCGACGATATGTCACACTGGGTGCAATCTAATATGAAGATCATCTAACTCCCGTGAAAATCACTTGACTTCGGAGAAAGATAGCAACGAAATACTCAAGTGAGCTTGTAAACTTGTCCTAAGCAGAATCTTTCTCACGAACAAGCTCTTTCGTCTACACTTTGTCT